CGCCACGTCCCCCACGTTGGCATTGACAGCCAGTGACAGAGACTTGAGCCTGCTGCACTTCTGTACCAGATAGCAGATGGCCTCGTCCTTCAGCTGGCGACAGGCCGTCAGGTCCACAGCCTCCAATGCCTTGCAGTGGTCAGCCAGGCTGCGCAGGGACAGGCTGTCCACCCACTCGCAGTGAGCCAGGGAGAGCCGGCGCAGGTTGGGGCAGCTCAGTGAGATGGCCACCAGCGCGTGGCGGCTGGGGCGGGCACAGCCCTTCAGCTGGATCTGGTGCAGGTGGTGGTTCTGCCCAATGACCGGGAGCAACTCCCTGTCTGTCAGCCACTCGGAGCAGTTCTGGAGTGCCAGCTGCTGCAGTACTTCGTTGTCCTTCAGCAGATTAACGAAAGCAGCTCGAGGGATGGCAGGTCCGATCTGCGTGGGGAACCCAGGAAGAATGAGGCAGACCCCAGAGTTTCAGATCAGCCTGATCCTCACCAAATACTCTCTCCCCTCCTCTCTTCCACTGTGACAGTGGTGACCAAAGTCACCCCCTCACCTCATCACAGGGCAAACCCTGCCGTCAGGCTTTCCTCCCCTTATCCGAAGGCTACTGCCACAAGCTAGAAGATGCTCTAGCTTCTCCATCCCCATCATCACCCCTGCATTTATATACTCAGGATAAGCTCCACACCTCAGCTCTACAAAAACTCTTTGCTAGATCACTTTGTGTCCTCACAAAACAGCAGCTACTCCTGTCTTTCCAAGTCCCAGGCAGTGTCTCCCAGGGCTGGCAAAAGTTTTCCATGAAGACCAGGCTGAGTTATCTCCCGTCAGACCCACCCTATTGCACAACCTCCATGAGGATCTACAGGCTGTGCCACTCCGGAGCTGGCTTGTGTTTCTGCCAGCCAGTGCCCCATAATAGCCTGGGTGGAGCTTCCAGGCTCACTCCTCCCAAGGCCTCTTGCTAAAGCCAGTGGCATTGCTGGGCCCTGAATCACCACCTCTCCTCCCTGAGCCCATCTGTCCAGTCTGACACCCAAGCCTTTAACCCGAGCTCCTGAGCAGAAACCAGCCTTCTTGCCAGGAGTTTCTTCTCCCCACATAGTCAGATGCTCCGATGTTAGCTCCAGAGCAGAAGGTCATCTGTGTCTCCCCCAGCCTCAGAGCCATCCAATACCTGGCTTGAGTCAAAGCAGCGCATGTTGGCCAGATACAGCTGGATGAGAGACTGGAACGACTTGCTGACCCTCTGCAGGCTCAGGAGCTGCCGCAATGGCAGATGACAGAGAATATGTGGAACCAAGATGTCTTCCCAGGGCAGGTCCAGGAGGCATCCCCTGGAGGGGGTCAAACTCATCATCAGGTGCCAGGGAGCCAGGCTACAGTGAAAGCCAGGCTGTATCACCTCACCACCTACTGCTGAGCGCCTCTAGAAGGAACAGCCAGAAAGAGAGACTCAGTGACGTCTTCCAGTGCCAGCCCACAGGTAAGAGCCCTTGGCTAGCTGTCAGCGGGGCACGCACCTGCGTCACCTCCTCCCCAGCCTGGGAC